TTCACAGTGCCGCCTGGAGCTTCCCCGTCCGAGGATGAATATGTCTGTTTCTGCACAGCAGAAGCTGCGCCAGATTTTCTTGCTGAGGATGCTGGGACTTGCAGTCAAATACACGGAGAAGACACGCACTTGAGGAAAGCTGGGCTGAGCAAGCAGCTCTGGGAAAGGGATGAGCCGTTCTCTCGCTCTGTTTGTGTGTGATCCACACCCTGCGAGCCATCCTATTTTGAAAATAGGATGCCAGACGCCTGCCCGATGGCTCGCTCGCTCGCCTAGAGCCACCGTCCTCCGTCCTCCGGGCCACAGCACCCCAGGAGCCCAAGGGTTAACCCAGGCACCCGCTCTCCCCCCACCCCACGTATACAGAGGAAAAGGGAAGCTGGGGAAATCCACCAGGCCGCTTCCTGCTATTTGGGTAATCAGCCGCCTGTGGCTTCAGACCCGCTGCAACACGAGCAGGCGGCGGCCCAGCCCGGAGAGCCCATTTTGCAGCCCGGGAAACTAAGGCCCGGCCAGTGCTCTGACCAGGCTCTGCGCCCCAGCCCTCCCCCCCAGCTTCGCTAGTCTCCGGGAGGAAGCCCGCTGCCCATCATCCAGTCCAACCCACACGTCCAAAATCGCCACCAGAGCCACAGTTGGGCAGTGAGGCTCTCGAAAGACCCCACGCCCTGCACCTCCCGTGGGGCCTCCCCGTCGGCCCCCAGAATGCCTGTATCTCGGATGCAGTGGGAAGCCAGCAGTGTGCCTCCCGAGCACCCCCACCAGCACGAATGGCACCCACAGGAGCTGGGCAGCACGAGGGGGGGTGACCCCACTCCCCGTCCCCAGTCCTGGCCGGGCAGCTGGTGGGCTCCCAGCTGCTGAGCTCCAGGGAGACCCCCCAGGCAGTGGGGGGGGGACAGCGGGAGGGATTTCCCTCCACAGCTGCTAAGCCCTATCCTGCCCTTCCTCCCTCGCTCCGACCACTAGGCATTGCCTCAAGGCACACAAACAGCTTTGCTCATCCCCACCACTTCCGCCACCTATGAGGACACAAGCCAGAGGTGTACATGTTGCGACAGCACCGTCCCGCCCATCCCACGGCCCCAGAACCTATTGGGAAATGCGACCGTGCGGCCATGCACGCCCGCCTGGCTCCCAGATTCCTGAAGTCCGTTATTCTCTGCTCAGGGAGACGTCTTGGTGTGCCGCGAGTGCCTGGCAGGCTGCGTCCACAGCGAGGCCCCCCCTTCCGTCCCGGGAGAAGCCCGTCTCGTGGGCCTGGGGGTGCAGAGGGTGAGGAGCCGAAGGCGGCTGCGCCTGCGATTCCGCCACAGGCCTAGCAAAGCGGAGTTTGGGGCTCGAGTGCCAGGAAACGGGTGAGAGCAGGCCGTGCAGGCAGCCGAAGACGGGCCCGCTGGCTTCACATCTTCCAGGCCAGCTTAGGGGGCTGTTCGGCCTCAGCAGTCTCATCTGCAGAAAGGGAATAAAACCACTTTCCCTCCCAGGCCCGGTATGCAGGATAAAATACCAGGACTGGCATCTTTCCAGAGTGCCAAAGCCAGCACAGCCCTCCAGAATAATTCTGCTCGCGCCACCGGCCACTTCCAGTGGTCGGCATCCCCTTCACCACAGAACTTAACGGCCCCAGTCAAGCACGACGGGGGCACAGCGGTTACACAAGCCACATTCCTCAGAGGCGGATCCCTTGCCTTCTGTGCAGCTCCTTGCATATTCCCACGTCCCTCTGCTAATGGGCTGGACCCACATGGATCAAAGAAACCTCCGTTTCAGTAGGAAGGAGGAGGAAGCCCCGCCACAGATGAGGACAAAAGCTGGGCAGCAAGAGTTCACATTCCCACATGCAGGTAGAAGGTGCGCGGGGGGGGGGTCTTAATCCAGTTCTTGCACGGACGCGATGAGACTGGATGAACTCGCCCGCGAAAAAAGCGCGACTAAAGAAAGGGCCCTTCAGCTCTTGGAACAGGTGGCCCGAGCAATGCGGGGACAGCTGCAGCCCAGCGGCACGCGGAGGGCCCGCATCCCCGCGCTGGAAGAGCAAGGCTCGCCGAATTAAAATCAGCATGTCCTGGCTCAACGACCTCGTGGAGCTCGGAAAATGCGAGCACCAGAAGCGCTGCTGCAGATGCTGGATAGCTGGACTCGCGAAAGCGAAGGCTCAGGGGGAAGTCAGCGGCTCGCCAAACGCTCCCGCAGGAACCTGAAAGTCACAGGGCGCCGGGGCCACGCCTGCCAGATTGGAGCTAAAACCAGGAGGCACCCAATGAAGCCAAGGAGAGGTTACTCTGGACGCTGCACACAACACACAACTAAGGGACACAAATGTGGCCCAAAGGGGGCTGGAGAGATGCACGGGGAATCCCCTTTGGCCCCTGAACCCTGGTGGGCACAGGGGGCTTCCCGGGGCCACTGCGAGCCGCACCAGTAGGGCCCGGATGGGTCCCTCGCCGGCCACAAGGGCTCTTACTCGCTTCGGAGGATCCGCGTCAGCGCGGCAGGTCACGCGGTAAGGGGGCACAGGCCACCCACACCTTTTGCGGCAGGATATATGGAAGGCTGCAAAATCCTTTGGAGATGCTCACTGGGCATCACTTCCCTCCACCCCAGAACACCAGTCCGCACAGCGACAGCTTCTCAAACTGGGCTGACCTCCACAGTGGCTTGATGGCATCATCAGCCATCCAGTGCTGGAGTGCCAGGTCCCTGCCCCAGGGAGCTTACAATCTTAAGGTGGTGTGTTGTTGTTGTTGTTGTTGTTATTACATTTTTATACTGCCCATAGCCAAAGCTCTCTAGGCAGTTGACAGCAATAATCATAGAATCATACACTCAAGTCACCCATCCCGCTTCTGCCCAGGCCTGTCCCTGCTTGGCTTCCAAGATTAGGCAGGATCAGGCACTTCAGGCTACATGGAAGTGTTGAACAAGTGAGACATTGGTCCCCGAGGCACTCGTCGATCTGCTCCACCAGAGCCCCCCCTGCCCCATCCTCACTCTGGGGCCTCGCTTGCCTTCCAGGGCCCAGACAGACCGAGAACAACAAAACCCCGAAAAGCCCCTTTCTTTCTAAGCTCCTGCAGGGAAGAGCCCTTGTCCCTCTTCCTTCCCTTCCCTTTTCCTACGCCGAGGAACCCTGTGCTGCCTGCTCAGACTTACTGCATGAGCCAGAAACCCCTCCCACCCACCAGCGCCGGAGGGAAGTGGGCTACGACTCATGGAACTTGAAGTGCAGCCGGCTGGAAGGTGCCGCAGCACTCCAAGCCTTTCTTTGCGACACGGATGACAAACACAGCTGCGCTTCCTGGTCCCGAGCACACAACACACCCTGCCCCCTCCCTCCCAGGAGGAGCCTGCGGGCAGGATCGCTCCCTCCAGCTTGAAAGACAACGGCACCCAGCACCGGTTTTAGAGCTAACAAAATGCGATTACTGTTCATTTCATTGAGCTCGGAGTCTCCTGCGTGTGTGCCCCGTTTTGCTCTTGTTCAGCCTTTGGGGGTCCCCCCCCGGGGGATCAGCCATTCGGGGGTGCAGATTTCAGGGCAACGGAGGAGCCCGGCACAGAGAGCCGGCGGGGGTGGGGGGGACTGTGTGGCACCGGGGCTGAGGCAGGGGCGGAGGCGGCAGGGCCCTGGATGACGAAGGGGCTCGGAGCCCGGAGGGAGCCACGGTGCGGAGCCCGGCTGCGCTGCCCTGACCTGGTACCCTCAAAACACTCAAGGGCATGCTTCATCCAACCAATGAAGCTACCAAGCGCTCTGCACATGCCCAGGTGCACCGTCCTCCTCCACTTGGCTGGCCATGCGGCTGCGTGAGAGGGGAGATTTAGTCCAAGACATCTAGGGGTGGGGGGGGCGGGGCGCTCGACTGGCAAAGGTTGCAGGGAAGGCGAAGACCGCAAGAGCACCGGGGGGGGGGCAGAGACCCGCCCCCCCGGGGCTTCCCCGCATCCAGAGCAAGAGGAGCCGGCGGGCGCCGCGCCTGCGGAGTCCGAGGCTTGGGGGGTGCGCGCACGCCGGGCCCCCTCCCCCGGGCCGGAGAATCCCCTCCCGCGGCCGCCCGCGGGGCTTCCCTGCCGAGACCCGGCCCGCCCCGGACTGCGCCGCGCTTCCGATCCTGCGGGCCAGGGAGGGCAGGCGCCGAACGGCCGAAGTCCAACCGGAAGTGCGCTCACACGCCCCCCCCGGGAGCGCCCAAGCAGCGGCCCCCCGACGGCAGCCTGGGACGCCCCTCTCCTGACCGCGCTGCCCCACTGCCGGGGGGCTCCCCGCGACGATGACCCCCGAGGCGCTGGGCAACTCCGAGAAACTCTGCGGCCATCTCGAAAGCTTCCTTTCCCTGAGCTATACATGTTGGGGGGGGATGTAGCCCCACTGAAGGGCAGCACTTCCGAGTTCAACGGCGGCGGGGGGGCGCAGCCCCTTGCTCCCGATCGAGAGAGAAATGGGGGTGGCTGCCGCTAGCTCCGAGGAGGCGGCAGAGAAGCGGCCCTCCCCCACTTCCAAGCTGGGGTGGAAACGCTTAAGCCGCCCCCCCCCC